CAGCAGAGGTGCAGGAGGGAAGGGATGACAGGAGAGCACCATGTAGGGATGCAATTAAACCTCCGGCAACAGGCACCTGCTCCTTGCTTGGATGTTTGCAGGGAGGATAACGAGGGAGATGAAAGTGGGGTGGGAAGACAGCGCCCTCGCAGCCCTTTGAAGGCGGGGAGATAACAGCCCCCCTCCCCAGCCCCCCTGCTTGTGGTGACAACCTGCCGGATTCTGCTGGTTTTCCCCCCAAGCTGAAGCCGCATCCCGGTGTCATCATCATATCAAAGGGGCTGAAACCCAAACACATCGATTGTGTTGCAGCCCGAGGTGTCACCAGTCCCTCCTCCCGGCACTGCCTGGAAAGCCGTGCTGGGAGCCCCGGAAAGCTGTGCCGGCTGACCGAGTGCCTGCCCCTGTAATCACAGCATCCTCTAAATGACATTTTTCTCTAGCACACAATTTCGTGTGGGTGTTGATTTGCCTGGATGGTGTCTCTCAGCTGAAAGGCTCAAGGAGGGTGCCCTAGCTGGTGGCAGGGAGATAGCAAGGGGAGCTTTTTAAAACACCCATCAGTGGGACTAATTAATTTAGAGGCTAAAAAACTGATGCTTTTTTCCTTATTTTTTTAGTGTATTTAAATATACATTGTGTATCACTGGTGTCTGCAAAACACACTAGGAGTTTCTAGCAAGCATCTCCTCTCTTCCTTTTGGGGAGGTTTCATCAAAAAATGGTGAACCTCCTGCAGAACGTGTTAAGTTTAGGAACAAGGTTTTTTTCTTAATACCAAAGTGTTTTTTGTAGAAAGGGGGCCTTTGAACCTTTTTCCAACAGGCTCTAAATGCAATGAGCTGCATTTCCTCTTTTTTCCTGACCTATGGTGTCCTCAAAACTTGCTGTCCATCTCCCGGAGGTGCTGGGCATGCTTCTGTAGCAAGGCTGGATTATCCAGGCTCTTTAGGGCCTTTGCACTTGGCAGTTCTCTCCACACCTCCAGTTTTGCTTGAAGGCACCACCTCGTGCAGTGCTGCTGCTTCTAACCCAGCTCTTCATCACCTGCTGTGCCAGAGTGCCACAGGTGTGCTTAAACACACCTGAAAAGGCACTGGAACCCAAAAGGGAACCCAAAACAAGTGTGAATTTGGGAATACCTGGCAAATGGGATCAGCTCTGCCCCAGCAGGGGCATACAAGGCATGGGAATGATGAGGTGTTGCCGACTGGGTTTACTGTGAGTGAAGGGAGAACGATGGGGTGCCAGTGAGGCTGGGGGCAGGAAGTCGGCTCCCTGAATCGCTGCTGAATCTGTAATCCTTTGCAGAAGTTCCTGTTTTAAAACTCAAGAAGGAAAAATGCCACTCTGCATCCCCAGGGAGCTTTAGAGCAAGTTAATATAGAGGAGATGTCTCCTTTCTTTCTTCCTTTCTTCTTTTTTTGTCTCTTTTGACTAAAGCTTCCCTGAGAGAGTAATTAAAAAGTGCAAGTTCCAGGTGCTAACTGGGAGGATTTAGTTTGAGGAGTGAAATGCTTGGATACCCCTATTCTTGCACCCTTCCACAGAGGCTGTGATGGTGGCTTGCCTCGGGCAGGAGCAGGGATGGATGAACAGAGAGATCCCACTTATCTCTGGCTCTTTCTAGGACTCATGGCACCTGGAATATAAGTATACAGAATACAGGAGAGGTTTAAGCAATGAAAAGCCTTGCAGTGCCACAATTGCTTTGATAATCCATCCTGCCTGTGAGAGCTGGAGCATGGAGGGAGGCGATGGTGGGGACACGGGTCTGTGGTGCCTTCACTGGGTGTTTGCCTTGAGACATGTCCACATCCCTACTTTGACCCCATGAGGGGGGATAAGGGAAGTTCAGCTCTTGCTGGGAGCCCCCAGCTCTGTCCAGCCCTGAAGCCAATCACCCCTTGGACATGTGGGCAAATTGAACCTATTTCCCCCGCCCCCCAAACTTCCAGTGATGACATCTCGCTGCAAGAAGCCCGAGTCTCAGCAGCCCCAGAATGATGGTCCCTTCTACCCCCAAACATGTCAACCCTGGAAAAGGGATCCTTGCTGGCAAACTCCTGCCCAGGAGGCACGGCATTCCTGGTGTGCAGGCAGGATGATGGATCCACGGGCAGCTTTGGGTTGTGGTGGGGGTTTAGGGGCCGAGCATCCAGCCCTGCTGAGCAGCACGTGCCTCAGCATTTCCAAACACACCCCTGGTGCTTAAATGTGAGGAAATGGATAGCTAAGCACATCATTAATCTTATCCGGCCCACATAATCAACAATCAATTAATTCTCCTCAGAGCTGAAGAGATGCAGGTTGTGCTGTAGCCTGGGCACTGGCAGAAGGAGCCCCTTCCCACAGGGAAAGCTGAGGCAGAGCATCATCCTGTGCTTGTCTGAGACACTGTTGTGGATACAGACCTTGCCAGCTCTGGGAAAATCTTGGAGCAGCCCTTAAATGAGGACAAACTTTGAACTGGCCATTCGTGGGGTGATTTATTGCTTCCTCCTGGGCTCGAGCCCTCCATCTGAGCCCTGGACTGGACTGTGAGTTTACCATCTGAAGGGTTATGGATCCCACCATGGCATTGCAGGGCCTTGGGGGTTTGTGCTTCATTTTTGGTCTGAGGGTCATGGTTTAGCTTCCCCAGAAAGAGGGGAGACAAGGGCAGCAGCAAGAGTGGAGGGCTGCAGCCTGTGCAGTGTTGGGAGGATGGAGAAGGCATCAGCCTCTCCCCAAACTGTGGGAGGCTTTAGGCAAGCATGGTGTAATTACAGGAGAGAAAAGCTAATTGGTAATAATAGCAATTAAGAGCCATGTGCCTGCAGATTACAGGAATTTTTGGATAAGTGAAGTGATAACAGAAACCAGCGGACACTGGGTTGCAGGGTACTGTGTTCAGGTGTTTTGACAAAGCATCACTTGAATTAATTGCAGTTAAATACTAACAAATCTCTTCAGCCAACCCACCAACATGCCCCTAAGCTTAACAGTGAGGTGTGTTCACAGCGCTGTGACCCTCTCATCTTCCTGCCTCCCATTCCCATCCTCTTCCATTAGAATACAGGTGGCTGTTCCCTGGTACTGCCACCTCTCCATCCTGCTCCTGGCACCTTTCAGGCATGTTTCTGACACATCTCCCAGCTCCAGAGCCCACAAGTCCCCCCTGCACATCTCACGGGTGCTCACAAGTCCCCTGGGACATGGTGGGTCAGTGCTGGTGGGAAGGGAGAGGTGAAGAACTGGAGATCTATCTCAAAGCCTCAGCATCCACATGTGGTTGTGTCTCCTGGCACATCTATCTGGTGTAACCTTGCACTTCCTCATGCTGTGGTGGGACATAGGGCTGTGTGTGTGGATCAGGGAGGGGTCTGCATCCCGCTGCCTTCCGCTCTGGCATCCTGAAGGTCCCCCTCAAGCCCTCCCGTGTCCTGCCCTGAGTGGTGACCCCACGTGTCTCACTGTCTGCCTACACCAGGTGGTGGGTTATGGCCCTAAGTGTGTCCCTAAGATGCCATATGTGTGGGATGGCTATGGAGGAGGACTCAGTCTTCCTGTAGTGGGGAAGAAGAAGGACTGTGGGAGATGGTGCCTGGTCCCTCTGGGATGCCATGTCCCCACTCAGCTCTTACTGCCATTGGAAAGAAACAGTTCATTGCAGGCAGTTGTGTGCCTTAGGCTGGAGGGGGTGGTGTGTCTCCTGAATAATGAAATTGTAAAATATTGTTTTGATTTATTCCTTTTTATCATCTATTAATATCTGGAAAGGCTGTGTGAGCAGGGGGCCTCATGAGTTTTGAATGACAGGTTAAAGGGCTCCAATAAAGATTAGATGGCCCACTATCTCCCAAGGAAATTGCATGAAAGTGGTTACTCCTGCTTGCTCCTATTAATTTCCTCTTCATGGCTGCTAGGAGATGCCTCATATCCTGATGCAGCAGACAGGGGCTAAGAGGCACTTTCCATTATCTCAATCATCGCCGTGTTTATGAGACACGTGGGGTGTTTCTCTGCAGAGCTGGGCCTTGGGGGTGAAGGCATCGCAGGGGCACAACCTCACACCAGGAACAGTCTCTCCTGGGTGGGTGGTGGACCTGGATGGCAGCCTGATTCCTTGGATACATGTGCCAAAATACAGACATTCTCTTCTACAGCCTTTGGATTTTGTTTGATGTCAGGGATGGATGAGCATCCATCCATCAGTGCCTCGGTGAGGAGCAGTGGGATGGGGCAGAGATGAGGGACCCCGTTTCTGTCGCCCTCGAACCGCAGAGCAGCGAGATGGTTGATTAATGAAATCTCCCCTCATCACTGATAAAACCCTCACTGTAACTGGAGCATCTCCTCCTTTATGAATTAGTTGCCATTTCCTGCTTGAATGAACTCAGAGGCTGGGAAGGTTATCAACTCCAGCCCCGGGCTGTGGGGGATTAACGGGATGGACCCAGAAGACACTAATGGGCGTTACATCAACTTTTTAATTAAATATTCAAATATTCAAATTTTACTTGGAAAAAGAGGTGTGAGACCTGAGCCATGCTGTTGGGGTGGCAGAAAGTGTCTTTTGAATCCACAGATCCTTGGGGAACACTGTTCTGCCCCTGTGTAACCACGCCTTCATGGATGCTGCCAGGGAAGTGCATCCCCCACTGCCCCACTGCCCCACTGCCCCCCTGCCCAGGTGCAAGCAGTGGGGAGCAAAAAGGAGGCTGCAGCTCCCTTGCTCTGCCTAGCTGAATATTGCCATGGGATTTCAGTGTTTGCCTGGTGGCTCCAGGAATAATTCATGGCCAGCATGGAAAATCCTGGCCATCCTAACTTCGTAGGAAGGTGCTACCCCATTTATTTCTGATACAGATGTGAAGCTTTTCTGTGTCTCCTGTCCTGTCTTGTCTTCCCTTCTCTCCTCTCCTCTCCCTTTTTCCCAGCCCATTCCAAGGACAAGACCTGCTTTCCCCTCAGTCTCAGAACGGTTCAGCACCCAACCTCTCTCCTCTGTCTTGCAGCCTGCCCAGCGGGGACGTTCAAGGCCAGCCAGGGGGCGGGGGTCTGCATTCCGTGCCCCCCCAACAGCCGCTCCACCGCTGAGGCCTCCCCGGTCTGCGCGTGCCGCAATGGCTACTACCGGGCAGACTTCGACCCTCCGGCAGCTGCCTGCACCAGTGAGTACCACATCAGGGCTGGAGGGAGGGCTGCAGGGATAAACTCTCAATCCAGGAGCCCTTTGCCTTATTCTCTCCCCCCGTCCTGGGAGCGGGAGAGCGGCTGGGCACCCAGCGCTGAGCGACGGGACGGCCCCGCATCCCGCTTTGCTGGCATCTGCTGGGGTTTATACATCACCCTGGCAGCACTGGTGATGGCAGGGAGATAGTTCCCAGGATAAATTAGAATTTAAAGTTATCTGCTCTGCCTGTCTTGTTCATAGCCTTTCAGATGGAGTATTTTTTAATAGGGGGAAAAGGTGCCTTGAGCATTGGTATTCAACGATGCATCCCTGCTCGGCTCTCTGCCCGAGCTGCCTGGCATGGCAGCAGTGTCCTCAAGGCTGTCTTTCGGTGGGAAAAGAGCCCAGGAGAGAGGAAGGAGCTCCTATACTCTTCAACCCACTGGGAACATGAGTCTCGGCCTCAACTGCCCCCAGATGCACTCCAGGCCCTTGAATCAGCCCATCAGGGAGCTTTAGCACAAGGGATGCTCTGGACTCCTTGGTGCTGGGAGTGCCTGAAGGGCACCTGGGAAATGAAAAAAGGATTTGTGTGTTCTGCTGGATCACCCGAGCTGTCAGACAGTCAGCAGGTTGCACAACTGCAGATAATCTATAGATATTTATTATGCCTCGTTACATAACTGATTTACAGCAGTGCTGCGCTATAGGAACCCAGGAAAAAAAGGCTCTTTGCTGATTTTTATCTCTTCTCTCCATGCTTAATGTTACAGTGTTCTAATTTGAGGTGCCAGCTGCTCACCCACAAAGTTTCTCTGTGTCAGAGGAGTAACTAATACAGTGGAGCTGCAGATGCTGCCCTGGACTGGAGCCTTCCCAGGGGCCATACCTGCGAGGGTGGTTCCTGCCCCAAGCCCCTGCACAAGGGGCTGCAAGTAAAGGGGAAGAATTTGGGGAGGACAGGGAAGAAAAATGGATTTTCTCTTTTTTCTTGAAAAGATATTATCTGCTTAAGGTATGAGGAGAGGGTTTGGATTAAAATTCCTGAGACAGGTTACAGATTCTTTGGTGTAACTCACTGATCCTATTGAGCCTTTGTGAATCCTCCACTCGTTTCCCTGGGGAATCAAGGTCTTTCTCCCTGCTCCTGCCACATCCTCCAGCACCCTCCTTTGACATCTCCATGATAGGGGAGCCCCACAGTGGAACATCTTTGGTGTCTTGAATCCATGAAAGCCCTTTCCTGTGAAGATGCTGCAGTGGTGACTGCTCCATGACAGACACATTTACTCCTAAAGAGGAAAAGAATTAAAAAGAATGGAATTCTATTAATTTCTTTTTAGGGCTGTCATTTCTCTATTTTTTGTCATTTTTGACAAAATCTTCCCTCTGCATTATTTATGGCAGCAGCTCAGAGAGGCTCCCGAAGTGCCTCCATGCAGGATCATCTCTCCATCCCACAATCCATGTCACCCCCATGCTGTTAAATCCACCTCTTCCCAGCCCATCCCTGGCCACTAACAGGGCTGATTTATCCACAGCCAGTAATGATGTTCCCTGGCACACACACAGGGAGGCTCCCCTGGGATGGGTTTCCCCAAGACAGAGTGTGCTTCGCTCTCTTAACCTTTCTTCGCAGGTCAAATCCTCTATCATTTTTATTGCTCCCTGTTTCTTGGCAAAGTCCTATTTCTTCCTTGGAAGTGAAGCCCCAAGCCCAGCCAGCATGAGGAATTCATTGCTTTCCTTATTTAATAAATCCCAGCAGCCGGATTTTGTGGTTTTGGCTGTGGAGCCATCCTGGCTGACCCCAGATCCTTCCCTGGACCAGTGCAGACGTATGTTTGTGCCTTGATGATGCTCTCCTGCCTGGATTCCTCCTGAATCGCTCCCTCTGGACCCAGCCCCGATCCGGCAGTGCTTGCAATCGGAGCTGCGTTCAATTCCTGTCCTCCGAAGCATTTATGATGGCTCCCGGTGGGTTTGATCAATGCAATTTTGTTCTCTTGTCCAACCTTGGAGCTGCTCGCAAACCATCGAGCAGTGCCGGTGCTCCTCCGTGCTGATAAATTCTTGGGCTCCCATCTCGAGATATCGAACCCTTAATAACCACTTCCCATTATCATCTCTCTCTTCTCCTGCTGCTCCTCTGGTTCTCCACAGTGTTGGCTAAGGGGTGTTTCTCTCACTGGGATAATCTGTTTGAGATGCTTCTCCATGTGAGCGCTGGATCTATCTCAGTGTCTCCCAGTGGGCTTAAAATGGGTCCATCTTCACAGATGGATCTGCGTGTGCTCTCTCTGTGAGGTTTTCTTGTATATTAAGTGGGTTTGTGGTGTGGGAGTCCTCATCTCCACCTGGGAAACCCCTTTCTGTGGATACCAGTGCAGGTGATTGGCGTTGCCAGTGGGGAGAGTCTGACCCTGAATTGAGCTAAACCATGGACACCAAATCCCTCCTAAGGGAGGAGGTGGTGGATAGTGGAGCAGATGGAACCATGAGGTGTCCTTCTCTGTGCTGGAGCCCGCAGGGGAGCACTGAGCATCCTAATTTGGGCAAGGACCCGTCTCAGTCCCTCTCCTTTCCCACAGGTGTCCCATCTGGCCCCCGCAACGTCATCTCCATCGTCAACGAGACGTCCATCATCCTGGAGTGGCACCCGCCGCGGGAGACGGGCGGGCGGGACGACGTCACCTACAACATCATCTGCAAGAAGTGCCGGTCGGACCGACGCGCCTGCTCCCGCTGCGACGACAACGTGGACTTCGTGCCCAGGCAGCTGGGGCTGACTGACACCCGCGTCTTCATCAGCAACCTATGGGCACACACGCCCTACACCTTCGAGATCCAGGCCGTCAATGGCGTTTCCAACAAGAGCCCGTTCCCGCAGCAGCATGTCTCCGTCAACATCACCACCAACCAGGCCGGTGAGTCCCGGGGGGACGTGCTGGGGGCATTGGCTGTGCCCACTGCCAGATGCAGGCTCTGTGTGAAATGAAGCTCCTGGTCCCAAAGAAAAAGCCCTCGGGGTGTCAGTGGGGTGCGATGACTGTGGTAAAACTGCCCCCAGCCCTGGGTGGGGAGAAAGGCCAGGAAAAGAGGGGGGAAGAGGTCTGGGAAGGTGGAGGAGGTGCCTGTGCCATGGGCAGGGGGAGAGCTGCCTTGTGGGAGGGATATCCAGTATGTGCTTTTTATCCTGCTCTAGATTTCTTGGGGTAAAATGGCATTGCCATTTCCCACTTTTCCCTAGGTGAGAACAGGGAGATTGGATGAACCCAGCCTTGAAAAGCAGCCTGGCTGCATTAGAGCACAGAGAGCATCATCATCTCAGGACTGAGTTCAGGTTCTGTCTCCTCTGGCACATCCCTCTCCCGTTATTTTCCATTTGTCCCCTTTTCCAGGCTGCTCTGCCCCTTTCCCTCCCTCCTCCCACTCAGGGATCAGGAACTGGACAAGCGGCTCTGGGCCAAGCCGGGATGCCAGTGGGGTGGCTGTACAGATGGCGAGGGGGAACTGGTCCCAGGCTGCACTGAGGAGCACAGGGAGTGGAGGGGATGGAAATCCATCTGCTCTGGGCAGAGAAAGAGGATGATAATTCCTGCTTTATGCCAAGCGTGTAATGCCGGGAACCTTCACCATCCCGCTCCCTTGGGAGACCATGATGGGGAAACCTGGTGTAAATATTTCAGTCTCCTGCCTCCAGGGAGTACTAATCCACACTTGTGCCTGGCTAGCATTGCCATCTGCTGAGCCACGAGTGATGAAACCTGCCTCCTGTTTCCAGGCTTTTTTTTTAGAGGGTGGGATTTTTGGGGTGTTTCTTAGCTCCTCTCCTGCCTTGGGGAGCTGGGAACAGCCAGGCCAGCCTCACCTGTCTGTCCCAGTGCTCCCTGTTTGTCTGGCAGAGGCTGAATGTTCATGTGGAAATCCTGGTCCTTGGGATAACCTGATGGAAAAGCAGCAGGACTATCAAGGACAGGATCAGTGCTCTGCCTCTGAAATCCCTTTGGCTTTGCTGTGGATTTTTCCAACCATTTTCCCAGCCTGATCCACAGTAACAGGAATTAACAAAACATCAGTTTAATTTCAACCCACAAGCATCTCCCCAGAGAGGATGTGGAGAGATTAAAAAAAATAATATGGGATTAAATATTCCAGGTAAACAAAGATGGTGCTATACTATCAACATCTCCCACTGGGGCCATGTGGAGCAAGGCTCCTGCCACCCCCAGATTCCCTTCATGGCAGGATTCTGTGCCAGGCTGAGCTCTTCCCTGGATCCACACAGGGGAAGCATTTTCCTTGCCTGCACTCTTGGCATGGTGAGGAGAAGGGCAGAGAGGGCTGGATAGGGAGCTGTGTGAGCAGGACATGCCATTGCCTCTTTGGGTGTGGAGAGACTTGGATACCTCTTTGGGAAGCTTTAGGTAGGATTAAGTGCAGGATCAGGGCTGTATTGACTGGCTTTGGTCCTTTTAAGTATAATTTGCAGGGCAAAAAGCCTTTGGAAAAGTGGTTCCTGACTAATTTAGTGTCTCAGCGTCCTTAATGGTGGAAGGACAGTGTTGCTGCTGCTGGGGATGCTCAACTCCAGAGATGCTTGACTCTGGGAATACACAACTCCAGGGATGCTTGGCTCTGGGGGTGCTCAGCTCCAGGGATACTTCACTCTGGAGGTGCTGGGCTCTGGGGACGCTCAACCCTAGGGGTGCACAGCTCCAGGCATGCTTGTCTCTGGGAATGCACAGCTCCAGGCATGCTTGGCTCCTCAGCAGGTGCAGAGCAGTCCTGTGGTTGCTCCAGTGGGTGCAGAGACCAGGGCAGGGAGCAATGGCAGTGGAGAGGATGTGCCTGGCAGCTGCTTTGGAAAATGTGCTCGCTGAGCTCTGGTCTGGTGCATGAACCGAAACACTATGGGCTCCTTTGCAGAGCGGTGTGTGTGTGGCATAGCTGGTGTGACTGATCAGAAATGTGTGGTAGGGAGGGAGGGGGGTCCTGATGCCAGTGCCAAGCATTCTACTTTCTCCAGGGATATTGCGACAGGATGCCCGTGACCCCCGTGCTGCACTGCCCAGGGGGCCTTGGGGGCTGCAGGGATGGAGGTGCTGCCTTCTGAGCACCCTTGTGCCATGGCCTTGGGAGATGAGAGATGGTCTGAGACTGTTTTGCAAGTGTTTGGGGTTTGGAAATAGAACTCTCGGGAGAAGCTTATTTGAGTAATCAGGATGAGCATCGCCCGAGAGTCCCTAAGAGCAGATCCAGCAGCTCCTCTGGAGCCAAAGCTGTTCCACAGGCCCCTTGATGGGGTGTCCCCTGGTTTCCCATCATTGTTCTGAGGGTTGGCAGATTTTTGCTCCTACATCCCATTCCTGACAGCATGTGGGGTGGCAGCTGTGGCACAGGCTCCCTGGGTGCTGGGTGTTGGATCCCCAGAGAGGCTGTTACACCAAGAGATGTCAAGCAGAGCTGGAGGCTGTCACCAAGCCTTGGTTTGTTCCCGCTGGGGAGAGCTTTGCTGTCTCTGTCCCACTGTGGGAGATGTCCTTGGAGCGAGCAGTCTCAGGGAGAAGGAACACCAAGGATTTCTAAACTCCTAATTAAACAGAATAGTTGGTTTAAATACCAGAATTCCCTTGCCAGCTCACTGCTCTGCTTCCATGTAAGCTGCTGAGATGCCTCTCTTCCCACTGCTAATGAGTGAGCTTGTCCCATGAGTCTGACAACCGCAGGCATGGGAGACTTGGGATGCTCTATGTGCCCGGGGGTTTTCCCCCTTCCCAGGGCTGTTTTCCCTACTCGCCTCCATTAATTTTCCCTCTCTCCCCGCTTCCTCGGCAGCACCCTCCACCGTCCCCATCATGCACCAGGTGAGTGCCACGATGAGGAGCATCACGCTGTCCTGGCCCCAGCCTGAGCAGCCCAATGGGATCATCCTGGACTACGAGATCCGCTACTATGAGAAGCTGAGCCGCATCTGCACGCCCGATGTCGGCAGCTCTGTGGGCACCAGGCCCGCACCGGTGAGCTCGGGGAAACCCTGCCATGGAGGGGGGCTGGGGCACAGGGGTCTTCACACTGAGGCTGCTCAGGGCCTGAGCCTGCTGGGAGAAGGGGAACATTGATGGGCTCTCGGTCAGGCTCTGCTGGGAACGCTCCATGTGGCCAGGTGGTGGGACAGGCACCAGGTCACCTGGGCTGCCTCTGGAAGGTGGGAGCGATGTGCAGCCGGGGGAAGGGGAGAGATGTGGCTACAAATGCTAATTCATAGAATCACAAAATGGCTTGAGTTGGAAAGGACCCTAAAGCTCATCTAGTTCCAACACCCCTGTCACAGGCAGGGACACTTCTCACTAGACCAAGTTGCTCAGAGCCCCATCCAACCTAAGCCACTGCTCCTTCTTGGCAGTATCTTGCCCAGCACATCAGTGCCTGTGCCTGCCTTGGCTATGGTATCTGTTAGGATGAGCAGGGACCTGGTGCGAGGGGACAATGTCTGGAGGAGGTGAGGTTGCTGGTGAGGGCTGGTGAAGGTTGCTGTGGTTGTCCCTGTCCTGGATCACTGCCTCCTGCTCAGTCCTTTCCCTCACAGCTGTCCTTCCCCACAGGGGACACGCTCTCGACCCCTGCGGTGAACCATGGCAAGCCCAAGCTGTTCCATCCCTCCTGTGTCTTGCCAGCTTTAATGAATTCCTCTAAATGTGAATAATTAGATGATCTCACCAGTGGCCTCTTACCAGCAAATCACTGGGGAATCTGGCAAAAAACGAGATTGGAGACGCAGGAGCCTTCCACCAAGGTTTAGCACAAGGTTTAGCCAGCACAGCAGGGGCTGCAGGAGCTGGGGCTCTCAATAGAGGCAGGTTGCCATTGAACCTGCTCCAAAAAGGTCTTGTAGGGCACATTATGCTGTTTTATGGAATCACAGAATCATTTGGAAGGGACCTTAAAGATCATCTAGTTCCAACACCTTGCCTGGTTTCCATAGCTGTGGGATGTTTGTGAAAGGCACAGGGACATCAATGGTATGAAGAGGAGCAATTTGCGGGTCATGAGTATTTTTGCTCTGGGTGCTCTTATTGTTTCTCCCTGCTGCTCCATGCTCTGGTGGGACCAGGGAGGCTGCCTGGGAGGCCTGTGCTGCAGCAGGGACCTCCCCAGCAACTTGGAGGCCAGGCAGAGATTGCGGGTTGTGTTTCATAGAATCATAGAATATCCTGGGTTGGAAGGGGCCTTAAAGATCATCTCATTCCAACCTCCCTGCCATGGGAGGTTGCTCCAAGCCCTGTCCAACCTGGCCTTCAGCATTTCCAGGGATGGGGCAGCCACAGCTCCTCTGGGCAACCTGTGCCAGGGCCTCTCCACCCTCATAGGGAAGGATTCCTTCCTAATCTCACCTTGCCCTCTGGCAGTGTGAAGCCATTCCCCTTGACCTGTCACTCCAGGCCCTTGTAAATAGTCCCTCTCTATCTTTCCTGTCGGCTCCCTTCAGGCACTGGGAGGCCACAATTAGGTCACCCCAAAATTTTCCCTTGTCCAAGCTGAACAGTCCCAACTCTCTCAGCCTTTCCTGTGGGATCCTCCTTGTCAGGGATGCTCCTGAGGCAGAAGCGGGGCCTCTACTTTATCCCCGTGCAGCCAGACTTCATCCCTGCTGTCGCCAGGGGCGGGTGGGCTACAGGGCCCTGCTGTCCCTCATCCCCACCTCTGACCGTCCCTGTCGGCCGTGCCCACAGGACCACAACGAGTACAACTCCTCCATGGCCCGGAGCCAGACCAACACGGCGCGGATCGAGGGGCTGCGGCCCGGCATGGTGTACGTGGTGCAGGTGCGGGCCCGCACCGTGGCTGGCTACGGCAAGTACAGCGGCAAGATGTGCTTCCAGACCCTGACGGACGGTAAGCACGGCAGCGGGCATGGGCCGCACGGGGGGCTGGTTGTCTTTCCAGCCACGGCTTCACGCTCTAATTGAATTAGAGGGGCTTGTCTCCACACAGCCCTGTCCCGGCGGGCAGCGTGGCGGGGGCTGGATGATTTACAGCGGTGTCTCATTAATCGCCAGCTGGAGGAGTGATCTGCCTGGAGTCTCCTGGCTCCGCATTTCTCCCGCTTTCCAGCTGCACTTCACTGCCTCCAGCCATGGGGACAGAACCCCCTGCCACGGGCTCTGAGTCTGGCACTGTGGGATGGGGTGGGAGGAGGGTGGTAGACCCTTGGAGGAAGGACTCTGGGATACTCAGAGCAACATCTGAGCCATCGGGGCAAAGCTGGAAGGGCCAGACCCATGACTGAAAGCTGATTTCCCACCCCAAGGTGGTGTGTTGGGCCAGCTCATGACCTTCACAGCTTCTTCTGGCCTCCTTGCCAAAGTCATGCTGCCTTTTTTCTGGCCCCAGCCCTTCCCTGCACCCACAAACACTTTGATTCCTTTAGAGATTGCTAACTCATGGGAGGGTTTTCCAGTAATCCCAGCTTCAGGACTAATCCAGAAGTTGGTAAGAGAAACAAGGCTCCTTTTGTGGTCCTCTCACCCCTGAAGAGAGAGAGTCCCTTCCCTGCTGCTACTGGTGTGATTCCTGTTCTGCTCAGGTGACATCCATGGCTCCCAACCTTGCTGCCTGTCTTTCCTAGAGCTTTTCTTCTTTCCTAAAGCTTTTCTTCTTTCCTAAAACTTTTCTTCTGTCCTAAAACTTTTCTTCTGTCCTAAAACTGGGTCGACCCATACTCGCACTCACATTGAGTGCCAGCTGGGGTGGGAAGAGGAAAACCACATAGGGCAACCAAAGGGAAGGAAATGGCAATAAACCCCCCTCGAATGCCTTGAATATTCAGGATTAGAGAAGCAAGAAGAAAAATCCTGCCTCAAATAAGCAATTAATTGAAATTTAATAAGGAAGAGTAGTGTAGATTATTAAATAATAATTGATTGTTAGATGAGAATTTCTCAGGATTTAAGCAGCGTGCAAGAGATAAATCTAGTTGGCAGTAATTAACTGCAGAGTAGAAAAACACAGATAAAAGGATGCTGAATGCTTTCTTTTGGATGAATTTTATTTTAACCCTTGTGTGTGGCTGCTGGCACAGCCTGGCAGACCTCGCTGGGGGTGGCTGAAGAAAGGAGCATCTCTGGAATGCTGCAGAAGCCCCCAGGAACGTGGGATCTGCTGGATACTGCCCGTTGAGGGCACCCACACCGCTGACAGGGCAGGGGATACAGGAGGATGTAAGTGGTTTTCTTGGGGTTCCTCCAGGTGTGTCCAGTCCTCCCTGTTCCACCTTGGCTTTCACCCTAGCGTGCTGCTGAAGGACACAACAAGTGGCTGAGGGGACAGAGAGGGTTCCAAGAGGGCACAGGGAGCTGGAGAGATGCTTAGTGGAGAAGGGATACTGTCATTGCCACGGCTCTGCAAAAGGAGTTGTCCCATGCAGTCTGTGGAGATGTTAAAACCCACAAGCACACCTGCAGTAAAGGTGCGCAGGTTCTCCTGGGCCTCACTCTCAAGGTCATCTGTTGCATGGTGGACTCTCTGGCTGGTTCAGTTATTAATGGGATCTTTTCTCTTCCTCCTTTCCTACAATGAGTAGGAATTTTGTGTCTGTGAGCCCCCATGTTAAAGTTGGTCAAAGTGACCAACAGGTTTAAATCATAGAGTCTCAGAATGGTTGGGGTCAGAGGGACCTTAAAGATCATCCAGTTCCAATCCCTTACTGTGGGCAGGGACACCTTCCCCTAGACCAGGTTGTTCAATAAATAAATTCAATGAAGAAAGAGAAATGCCAGAGCGCAGACAAACCACCATGTGAACCTCATCTCTTCAGGAAACTGGGCCTACGCACATTGGTTTGACTTTATTCCCAGGACTGTCTCTTCCATATTTTAAACACAAAGCTGTGTGAGCTGAGTATGACAATCCATCCCTGTGCAATGCAGCACTGGCTCAACTGATGCTCCTGCCTGGATCTTCCTTGTTCCATCACCCTCCCTTGGGAGCAGAACTCATGGAATCAGAGGGGGGCATGACAAGATCCTTTTCCAGAGGCCGGTCTTACCCTGAGGGAGAATTCACCCACTCCCTCTTCCCTTGCAGACGACTACAAGTCGGAGCTGAGGGAGCAGCTGCCACTGATCGCGGGGTCCGCAGCGGCCGGGGTGGTCTTCATAGTCTCACTGGTGGCCATTTCCATCGTCTGCAGCAGGTGGGTCCCATGGAATGCTGTGTCCCTGCAAGGTGGAGGTGGTAAGATGTAGATTTGGGGTAGGAGGGGAGGGATGGGGAGACCCCTGTAGAGAGCACTGGGATGCCATTGCTCCTGGAGTGTTGCTGGTGGGGAAGCAGGTTGTGGCCACCACCAGCTGCTGATCCCTGAATCCTGGCTGTTTTCTCCCTCTCCTCTCCCAGGAAGCGAGCCTACAGCAAGGAAGCCGTGTACAGTGATAAGCTACAGCACTACAGCACCGGCCGAGGTGAGTGGGGTAAGGAGGGAACGGGGGGATGATCCCAAACCTGCACCCAGCATCTGCCCCACTCCTCTGCCTTCCAAGGGGAACCGTGGGATGGTGGAAGCCCCTTGGGCAGGTGGAGGGGACCATAGAGTGGAAGTAGAGATCACCACAAATGTGTGTCAGGCTGTCTGGGGCTGGTTTGCAGTGGTGCAGCACTGTGGATGGGAAAAGAAGCATGGCAGGAGGGATTTGGGGGATGATGAGGGATTTTGGGAGATGCAAGGGGTAGGGGCGATGTAGGGGACAAGGGTTGGGGGAGAGGATGCTGTGAAGACTCCTCCCAAATGAGGAAGGGAAGCAGAGAGGTGATATTCAGAGAGAAGAGGAACTTCTCATCTTCTGCCACAGGCTCTGCCTCTGGCACAATCAGTGCTGAGCTATATTTTGGGAGTGATGTTGGGGAGTGTGGGCTGATGGCTGGCACTGCTGCTGACCTGTCCATGTGGCTGATGCTTGCCCTGTACCCTGCTCCAGGAAGGATGTACAGCAAGTGACTGGAAAGGTTTAACTGGTTTTGAGCTGCTGATCCCCTTGGCAAATAATTGGGAGAGCCTGAGCTTTTCCTGAGAGACCTCTGCAGTTGGTGGAGCTGTGCACCAGAATAAATCCGAGGTGTATCTGTGTGGAACGTTTGGCTCAGGTGCCCCTCCATCAACCAGCACTAGAAATGATAATAAAGCAGCAAAGCATCAGCTTTGGGGGGAGGGGATTTTCCACCTGGTGCCCACAGGCTCCATGCCCCATCCCTGCGGGATGTAAATCCCATTTACACTCTCCGAGAGATGCCTCCCAGGTGCAATTTGCTGCCTTGTGGGAAAAATCATCTCTGGGTCCTGGGCACCTGCTTGGGGAAAAGGGATATGGGATGCAGGGATGGACCAAGGATGGCTGGGGAAAGCAGGGTGAGCAGAGGAGAGAGATGGAGTGACCAGCCTGGCAGAGAAATTCAGGAGGGCTGAGAGGGCTGGTGAGAGGTTGGAGGCAACAGGAGAGCCCAGCCAAGCCAGCAAAGCACACTGGATGTCTTTTGACCTCAGCTTCTTCCTGAACTCTCCCAGTGTGATGGCAGCGCTGTGGGGGGCCTAAACCTTCCAGCAAACAATAAACTGCTTTCCCAACATCACCAGGTGATCCTGAAATACAATAGACCTGTACTTTTCCTCCCTCTTTCCTCCACGTTTCTGCTCTGCGGGGAGCAGGGCAAGATTTATTTGATGCCTGATGGCTGAACCCATGTCAGGCTGCAGGTGAAAGGATTTTTCCCATTTCCCCCCTGTTTTGAAGCATTCACCACCCCATGTGTGTCTCTGGCTCGCTCCAAGCACTTCGAATCCCAGGATACTCAAACTAGGTAGGGAAGCAATGAAGCACGTGCCTGTCTTTGTTTTTTAAACCCTGGGGGATGTGAGGATTGGTGTCTGAAATCCAGGGGTGCCGGCGCTCCTGGACTCCTGTCAAGGTTAGTGAGCCTCCGGGTGCTCTGTCAGTGCAGATGCTCGAGGAAAACAGGTGGGAAATTTGTGGTGAGCAATTAATGGAGTAACGAGAGCATCCTCTGGAACAAATTACCCTGAGTTAAGTGGCACAGCAATTACAGCCTCCCAGCACAGCTCTGCCATCCCTCCGGCAGCCCGCCCGGGATCGCTGCTGCTGCCAAGAACTGCCCCGGGTGGGTTTTGGGGTGACGTGGGGTCTCTCAGCCTGTGATTTTTCATGGTTTATCCCTGCCACTTCTTCACTGGGAGCTTTGAGATTGGGGAAACAGGGAAAACACCCTGCTGAAGCGCCAGTGATTCAGCAGGAGGGTTTTTTTTCCTGTCCCCAAGATAATTATTCCCAAGGAAAAACGATCTGAGAAGGAATTGGACGCTGGATTCAGGGTCAGCTTTTGAAGAGTGATAAAAAATTTGCCATGGTCTGCAAAAGTCATAAATGGCCTAATCCAGTTTTTGGAGTATTGGGATGATTTTAAGAGCACAAAGGCCTTTGTGGTGCTTTTGGTGGTATGCTCCAGTACCTGGAATTTCACTCAGCTTCTGCCAGCAATGATTAGGGTTAGGGTGGCTGAGGTTTGCAGAGTTGAAGAGTGGGTTTAGCTGCCCTAATCCCACTCATTTGGATGGGATGAGGATGAGGGGAGAGCTGACCCTGGTGTTTACTGACTGTTGGGGCAGACCCTGGGGCAAATCAGAAGGTGTTTGAAAACCAGTGACAGTGGGCAGGAAACTTTGGCATTGTTTTCTCCTGTATTTTTTCAATACTTTGATCAGCGAGTCAGTCTCCATTACGATCCTGTAAATCCCTTTGTAATCCTGGCTGGAGCATCAGCTGCTCTTGTAAAAGAATTTATGGGGCAGTTAAAGTGTATGAGACAGAGCTGTAAAGGGATTTATGAACTGGGAGATGCACAGATGGCTTCATTGCAGCCTTCCCCACCTCTGAGGTGCAGAGCTTTTGCCCCAAACGCCTCTTTTGGGGGTGAGGGTGCTCCTGCCTGGTCCCTCCTCGGTCCTTGATGCCCCACAAGCAGCTCTCCCTCGGTGGCTGTTTGGCACCAGCAGTGCCCGCTGCAAGGGTTTCATGGCTATTCCTGAGTTACTTTGCAGCCAGGAGCTGATCTGGATTCCTGGTGCAGGGGTGATGCTGTGGTCCATGCATCCATCTGTGTGTTGGCTCTAGAAGGACTCTGGGAAGCACCAGTGTGACAGGATCATGGTTCTTGGGAAGGTCCTGGACAGCATAATCAAATCACTGTGAGGGCGAGGTGCCTTGGAGAAGGGAACCATGCAGTGATGTCCCTCCTGGTGTCCTCCAGAGATGACCCTGAGAGGCTGCTCCACCATCCCTGGCCCCTTTTTTGGATGAGAAATGGCACAGGAAGGTGAACTTCCCCTGGGAGGACACAGCCCATTCTGGGTCCCCTTTGAGGACCGTGGTACAACACTGGGGGTGACTGTGACCTCACCCTGGCAGCTCCACAAGCCCATGAGCATCCAGACACAATGCCTGCAAACCCAGTCTGAGGAATGTGGGGGTCTGTTTTGCTTTTCTCCTCCATTGAAAAAGGGCAAGAGCCCACTTGCAGCATCTCCCTGCTGCACATTGCCCCCGTGCAAGGGACCGCACACGTGTCACAGTGCCTAGCCAAGCCGGATTTTCATGGATCCATCCATGTTGTTGGTTATAATTGCTGCACTCCGTCAATTTAGTATCCACCACAAAGCTATCAGAGGCCTTTTTGGATAAATAAATATTTCTTCACTAACGTGTGGAGCCTCATAAAGCCTTCACCGTAAAGCCAGCGCGTTGTAGTTCAGGTCTGTAACTGCTCCCATTGCCAGGGAGGAGGAGGAGGAAGGATAACAGTGGAGGAGTGCAGGGCAGAGGAGGAGAGGAGGGGGTGCAGGGAAGGGCTGGGTGCAGTGGGGGGACCAAACTCCAATTAATGGCCATGGCACAACTGCTGTTTGTTTCCCAGGCTGCTTGATGGATGAGTTGTGGATGCCCCATCCCTGGAACTGTTCAAAGCCAGGTTGGAGGGGGCTTGAAGCAAACTGGTGAAAGGTGTTCCTGCCCATGTCAGAGGGTGGATGAGCTTTAAGGTCTTTCAACCCAGACCATTCTATTAATTCTGTATTTTTATAATTCCTTCCCTTTTGCTGTTGTTCCTATCTTTCCTGCACCAAGGGTCTCCAGGGATGAAGATCTACATCGACCCCTTCACCTACGAGGACCCCAATGAGGCAGTCCGGGAGTTCGCCAAGGAGATCGATGTGTCCTTTGTGAAGATAGAAGAAGTCATTGGAGCAGGTAGGTCTCACTATCTCCTGCTGCTCATCCCTCCCTGCCCTGTCTGCCACTCCTATGTGGCCAGACATGCACCTGGAGCAATTCTCTGGGGAAGCACATGTGGTCCTTCACCAGGAAACAGTCAAGGAAGCCTTGAGACGTTTCTGGATTTGTGATAGGTTTGGGTGGACACGAGGTTGGTTTATGCTCTCAAAGTTCCTCTGAGGTGGGAAAGGCTCCAGGAATGTATTCACTGGCTGACCATGGAGCCTCTTGGGATTTCCCACTTGGCTTTTCCATGAGATAACTAGAAAAGCCAGATCTCACTGTAGTCTGTGCCATATTCCCATACATATGTATATATACACACACGTGCACGTATGTGTGTGTCATCTGTGCTGTTTCTATTGCCATTTTTAAATAACTGTGTCATACTCTTAGGAGAGAAAGTGAGAAGCTGTTGGGGGGAAGCTGTGAAGAAGCAATGACTTTGTTTGCGATCGAGTTCTGTGATGTATCAACTGCCCTTTGCTGCTCATCAAGGCAAAGTGGTTGCAAACCTGGCTTAAATGTAATCCCTCGACAGGCAAATTGTGCCTTGATGAAGGCAAAGCTCTCCTGCTGGAAAGGAGAGGATGCTTTCTTATATTTTAAATCAGAGAGCAGCAATGTAAACAGACCAATTATTTTCCATCCCAAGATAAGCGATGTGCAAAAAGGCAGCTGAGATTATCAATGGTGATACCTGATATTTGAGGTCATCCTTGAATGTTGAAGTTCTTGCTTTGCAAATCCTTCTTGTGGGGGTCTGCAAGAGCAGCCCCAGCCTCTGCTTGTGTTGGTGTTGGGCTTTGTCACCTTGTAGAAGGTTTGCAAGCCTAAACATGTCCCCAGCAGCAGACGTTGCCCCTTCTAGAGAGGACAAGTGAGCAGATTTGTAGAGGAGAGTGTTGTTGAAGTGTGACCTGGCTGCCATTTCTCATCTGGTTGGTCTGGAGACCAAACAGCCCAAGGTACTATTGCTCTTTGCAATGTTTTATGTGGAGGAGGAGGAGGTTGTAGCAGATGGTCTTGAGGCTCTTGGTCTAGTTGACAAGGCAATGACTGCTCAAAGGTTGGACTCCATGACCTTGGAGGTCTTTTCCAAAGTTAATGATTCTGTGATTGTCTTGCACTTGCAGGGGAGTTTGGAGAAGTGTACAAGGGCCGCCTGAAGTTGCCAGGCAAGCGGGAGATCTATGTGGCCATCAAAACACTGAAGGCCGGTTACTCGGAGAAGCAGCGGCGGGACTTCCTGAGCGAGGCCAGCATCATGGGGCAGTTCGACCACCCCAACATCATCCGCCTGGAGGGCGTGGTGACCAAGAGCCGGCCGGTCATGATCATCACCGAGTTCATGGAGAACGGCGCCTTGGACTCCTTCCTGCGGGTAAGAGGAGCTGGGGCCGTGGGAACTGTTTGGCTGTGGGATTTGGGAATGAGATGTTGGTATCCCTTTCGTAAATCCCAGCCTCTTTGCTTGGGCTGGGAGCTGGTTGCAGTGTGCCGTGCACCCCAAAAATGTGTGTTCTGGTGCTGGTTATCTGGTGCTTTAGTCAGGCAGGGCAGATGGATGGTCCTCTGGGGAGGTGCAGCGTCCTCCTGAGGTTGGGGTGAGCGCCCTGTCCCACGGTGCGCTCCGCACGCTCACCCTAATGCCTGCTTTTTGTGGTCGCAGCAAAACGACGGGCAGTTCACAGTGATCCAGCTGGTGGGAATGCTCAGAGGGATCGCTGCCGGGATGAAGTACCTCGCGGAGATGAATTATGTGCACCGGGATCTGGCTGCCAGGAACATCCTGGTCAACAGCAACCTGGTGTGCAAAGTGTCCGACTTCGGCCTCTCACGCTACTTGCAGGACGACACATCTGACCCCACCTACACCAGCTCCTTGGTAGGTACCTCTCATGGAATTTTATCCTGCCCAGCATTCCCCGTGCCTGCCTTGCACCCCCTGCCAGCCGGACCTGGAACAAGGTGCTGGATGTACACCCTGGCATGGCTGGGAGCATCTCATGAGCGTTCTTAATCATGTATGTTCATGGTGGTTCTCATAAGTCATCCTCCTTTCCCTCCTTTCTCTTCCTCCTTTTTATGAGTTTTCTGCCTCCCTCCTCCTCAGGCATCTGCCTGCCCTCCACAGTTTCCAGATAAGCCTCTTCCCTTTTCTCCATGGAGGAAAGGTGCAGAGAGGAGTCCCTGGAGAGGTGGGAAGGGAAGGCAGGGAGATCACAGCGTCTCTCGACGGCACAGCGATGGCATTTTAACTCCCTTCCCCCCAGTACTCCAGGTCTGGACTGTTTTTCCCTGCTGGAAAGTTGTTCCATGCATTAATTAAAGACACAAGCCTAATGGGAGCTCTGCTGTTCCCCAGCCACCCTTCTCCTCCTTAATTAACTCATTCATACCTAGCAGCAGCTCCTGTCTCCTCCTGCTCCCACTGCCCCTGGGGACTCCCAGCTCCCCACCGTGGCCATCATCCTGCCAGTGAGCCCCGAGCCCCCTAGTATTCAGGATGGCCAGAGAGGAAGGGGATGAGTTAGGATTAATTAGGAGAGCATGCAATGGTGCTGGCACGAGGCTGCACCGACTCCTGCCAGAGGAGTTCCTTGGGCTGCCGAGCTGTGCCCCGGCACCAGGGCTGGTCCAACTGCCAAAGTTGGAAAGCCATGGACATGCCTTTAAGGCTGACTCAGCAACTCACGAGTTGCAGCTCTTTGCTCTCCCTCCCCTGCTCATGGGATGTTTCCACCCCCCTGGACCTGCCCAGTCGCTCTACAGGCCTTTGGAGCAGACACCCAGCTTTTATTTTTCCTTCAAAGACCTCAGCAGTAGCTGCTGAGACAAGGCATGAATTAGTCTTTCCCCCACCTTCAGAGATAAAAAGAGATTATCTCATCTGTGTTTTTATTTAATTTAGGCCATAATAGATCTCCCTGGCAGCTGGGAAGTGATGCTGTGCCTGCGATTGCATCACTCTGCCTCCCACAGCAGGCTTTTTGCTCTGGGGAAAAGGCAGGAAAAACAACCTAGCAGTTAATTTCTCCATTTGTAGTTATTCAAATCAAATTTTTTGCCATTCATCCTTCAAGAGCAGCTGACGCTTCCTCGGAAAGGCTACAGAAAACAATTGTGCTGAAAGATTTACAATGCAGTTCTGCCCCTGGTAAATTCTGCCCATGTCTGTGGTTTGCCTTATCCCTGGGCTCTTTTTGTGTTTTTTTCAGCAGAGCTTGCCCAGGGAGCAATCCCTCTGTGCCCCTCCTCACATCCTACCCCCTCAGCGTGGCCTCTGGCCCTGGGACCTGCCGTGGCTTGGTGGGGTGGCTTGAGATGCAGAGCCTGATTCTGAGTTTTTAGGAAAACAACCCTGACTGGTGGGAATCCAGGCTCCTCTGCCAAGGAAACTGTTTTCCAGCTGCTTTCCCTTTTTCTGTAGGGGGGTAAGATCCCTGTCAGGTGGACGGCACCAGAGGCCATCGCCTACCGCAAGTTCACCTCGGCCAGCGACGTCTGGAGCTACGGCATCGTCATGTGGGAGGTGATGTCATTCGGGGAGAGGCCCTACTGGGACATGTCCAACCAAGATGTAAGCACTGGGAGTCATCCATCCTGCTCTGGGGCATGAGGTTGGTTCATTCCCTAAAGAAAGCCCTGCCTGAATGGCCCTCGGCTCCTTCCTGGAGCCTTGGGAGCGCTCAGTTTGGAGATGAAACAGGCTGGTGAGTGAGAGGATGCAAGGAGGGAAATAGGGAAGAAAAGCCAGTGGGCTGGTAATTGGACTTCAGCAAGCTGCAGGCCCTTTGAAAATGTTCAGAGGGCTTATGAGCAGGGAAGGAGCTTTGGAAGTGTGACTGCTGCACTCCGGCACGATCTGCCGAGATAATGAGCGGCAGCTCTCCGCTGGGAGGAACTGCAGCGCGCCGAGCATCAGAGCGCAGATTAACCTCAGAGAGCGCCGGAGCTGGGAGCGTCTCCTCCCGCTCCCTTTGCTGCTGATCAGCTGGGCCGGCCTTCCCAGCTGCCTGTGGCACCTGTGCCTGCACTCGTGGCTGGGAGCGCCGCTCGGCCCCTCCGCGAGCTCCCTTCCCCCCGAGTGCCTCCCCCTCACCCGCCACTCTGTCCCCCACTGCCCTCAGGTGATCAACGCCATCGAGCAGGATTACCGGCTGCCCCCGCCCATGGACTGCCCCGCCGCCCTGCACCAGCTCATGCTGGACTGCTGGCAGAAGGACCGCAACACTCGCCCGCGCTTCACCGAGATCGTCAACACCCTTGACAAAATGATCCGCAACCCGGCAAGCCTCAAAACTGTGGCTACCATCACCGCTGTGTGAGTTCCCGGCACATGGGAATGCTCCATGCCAGCATCCCGAGCCATGGCAAAAGGCTCCTCTCAGCCCCAGGGGAAGGACAGGAATTCATCAGCCGTTTGGTGGGTGCGGGGGGTTTCTGTCTTTGCTCTGCCTGACAGTCAGACAAAGGACATGCAGTTTTCAGCCAAGCAACTGCAATAATTCTTTGCTATTGATTCTTTATGGCGTGTGACCGTGCAGGCACGGTGGCTGCTCTGCCGGCGCCTCCGTCCCTGTGGCTCCCACGGCTGGACTGCAGCGTGCAGGATTGCAAAGCTGCTTGGCACAGTGGTATACCCACAGGACACGCCTTCCTTGGGGGACCACAAGGGTGCCTGGGTTGGGTTGAGGGGCACATGAATGTACTGGCTGGGCTCCAGGGTGGCAGCCCCTCGGTGCCAGCCAGGCTTGTCCCCAGCATTGTGTTCCTTTCTCAGGCCTTCTCAGCCCCTCCTTGACCGCTCCATCCCCGACTTCACTGCCTTTACCTCAGTAGATGACTGGCTGAGCGCTGTGAAGATGAGCCAGTACCGGGACAGCTTCCTGACTGCTGGCTTCACCTCCCTGCAGCTGGTTGCCCAGATGACGTCCGAGTGAGTTGGGTGCCCGAAAGCTGGGTGCTGCCTGGCTGAGGGCTGGGAGAGGTGGGAAGGTCAGTTCAAGACAAAGGATGAATGCAAGCATCCCTCACACTGGTCAGGAGCACCCTGAGTCTGGAGGTGGCCACATTCACCATCTGGCAGTCAGTGTGTGGGGGTGTCCCTGCTCTCAGTCCCAGGGATGCTCACGGGGCTGCATTTGGGCTCTTTGGCTGTTCCAGTTGAGCTTGCATCCCTCTCCTCACTTAGGGACAGACAGCAAAACACCACCCTCATCTGCCCACTGATCTTCCTCTGCCTGTCTGTCTGTCTTCCAGAGACCTCCTGAGAATAGGGGTGACTTTGGCTGGGCACCAGAAGAAGATACTGAACAGCGTCCAGTCCATGCGAGTACAGATGAGCCAGTCTCCGACCTCGATGGCATGACGTCCCTTGTTCGACGGGGAGGGGCGGGGAGGGCACGCAGAGGAGGGGCAGAGGTGGGAGGGGAGGAACTGGCGGGTGCCACAGGGCAGCGTTTGGGAAGGAGCCGCTGCTGCCCGCGGACTGTGACCGCAGATGAAGGATGTTCCTGGGACTCATCTCTAACTGGTGAATTCCGTTCCTCACCAATAGAAGCACACTTACCAATGTCATGGGGAACAGCATATAAATACATATAAATATGTACAAATCATATATTTAAAAAGCAAAGCAAAACAAAAAAAAACATAAAAAACAATGAAGACACACCAGTGTGCGTTGGGGAAGCAAACCCTAACCCTAAAGACCAGACTCCAATCCCACCACCAGTGAGCAGTGGTTAAAACTGAGAAGGAGGAAGGGGCTCTTGGGGAAGGGAGAGGCATGAGATGGAGCATCCTGTCCGGAGACACTACCTTCCTTTTTCTTCTTTCACCCTCTTTTCCTGCCCCAGCCCTCCCGGCTCACCCTGCTCCCCTCTCTGCTCATGAACTGGGTGGAAGTGTCCTCAGACGTCTCCGCAGCTCCCTGCCATCCTACCCGGGTGCCGCTCTGGCAACTACCAAAGGACTTTGCTGACCACTGCATGGGGGATCCGACTCAATCCAGTTAATGTCTTCATATTGAAGAAGAGATGTACCTTCAATAGAAAACCTTGGGTTTTGGTTTTTTCTTTAGTTTTGTTTTTTTTTCTTTTCTTTCGCTTGCATTTTTTTTGCAAAAAGGAAAAAAACAAAAAAAGGATTAAAAAAAAAAAAAAGAAATCTCCATCCTGGAAAACAGAGAGGTGTTCCCGTGTGTGTGTGCACGCTCATGCGCCTGTGTATGTTGTCGACCTACCGTGGACTCACTGCTTGTCCATCACCGGCGGTCACTGCTGACCCTGCGGCCAGCGGCTAGCCGGGCCCCAGCCCGGGGGGCTAGGGGTTGTGCCCACAGCCCCTGGGGGCGGGAGGCAGCCAGGAAGCACCCGGCAACGAAGGAAGTGCTCAGCATCCTAGAAGCGAGGAGGAGGACACCAAGGGCCCGCGCAGCAGGGACGGGACTGGAGGAGCCGCCACATGCCTGTGAGCAGGTTGGTGGCTGCTGGAGAAGGAGGAGAGATGCTCTGGGAAATGGACTGCTCAGGCCTCCAGAGTCTTGGCGAAGATGGCTATGGAGGACTTTTTTCCCCCATCTTGTGGACCTAAGGATTTTGATATTGATTTATGGACTTAGGTTTCATGGCTTCGGAGGTAGGTCCATATGTCTTGTGTGCCACTCTGTCCATCTGTCTCTGTATTTTTCTGCTCTTGCTTCCTTGCAGCCTCTCTTAGTGGATGTTTCCCAGTGTTAAATTTGATTTTTATTACTTTTTTTTTTTTTTTTTTTTTTTTTTTTTTTTTTTTTTTTTTTTTTTTTTTTTTTTTTTTTTTTTTTTTTTTTTTTTTTTTTTTTTTTTTTTTTTTTTTTTTTTTTTTTTTTTTTGTTCCTCCATTGGTCTCCTTTGCAAATTGATCTGGTTGAAATCACCAGGCGCGTGTCAGTGTTTACCCAGAATATTGTAAGACTGGGCAATCTGACTTCCCTCCGCAGATCGCGCAGAGAGTTTATGAAACGAATGAACTCTTAATAAGGCTTTTACTTAGAGGGTTGTGTGTGAGCTGTAATGATCCATCACTGGGCTGTGCAGGCGCTGTGCCAACAGCCAGCGGCGCCTGCATGGTGGGGGAGTGGTGGTGTGGGGTGGCTGCCTGGCCCTGCCTCCGAGGCTGTGGGTCCTGGATGGGATTTGGTGGTGTGGTGGCTCATACATGTGTGGAGACCCTCTGTCCTCCTCACTCAACCTCCATCCTCCCCACCCATCCATCCCCACAGATGTGGGGCCATGCCCCACATCTGCTTGCACTGTGGGGATGACCTGCACCCATCCATGTCCCAGGAATATTCTACTTCCTCCTGTGCCACGGGGATTCCCCACATCCATATCCATACCCATATCCATACCCATATCCATATCCATATCCAAATCCAGAATATTCCACTTTGCCCTGTGTCACGGGGGATGTTTTATGTCTATGCCATGACCATGCCCACACCTGTCCATGCCGTAGTGATGCCCTATGTCCATCAGAGCCATGAGGATGCCTCAAATCCAGCTGTGCTGTGGGTTTTCCCCATATCTGTCCATGCCACAGGGCTGCTCCATATCCATCTGCACCATTGGATTGCTCCATGCCCATCTGCCCCATCGTATTCCTGACATCCACCTATGCCTGGAGATGCCTCACCAGATTTCTTGCTGCCACTGAATGCAAAGGGACAAGCCCTTCCACTGGCTGCTGCCATTGCTGTCCACATGTCCTGGGTGGGATCACTTCCCCCTGTGCTGGGGCCATTGGGGTTCGCTGTGGCTGGGGGGACCCCCGTGTGTCCTGTGGGGAGCACATGCTTGGTTCATGTTTTTTGGTTCATGGTGGTTCACGAGGAGGACATTCTTTGGCTCCTGCTGATGGTTCATCGCGTGGTAATGGGGTGCTCTTTACCGGAGGTCATCCTAAGGAAGATGACCCACTCTCTGCCGAAGAACGGGAACTAACAAGATGCAGGAATGAGCTTGTTTCAAATCACTGAACTCCCCCCCAGAGAAAGAGGCAGAGAAAAACACCCCTTGTTTACAACAGCAGGGACTGCTTCTCATCCTGTCTGATAGACGATCACTAATACCTCTTGGGATACTCGTGGCCCAAATCTGTATTCCAGGATGTTGTCACACGGAATACAACATGCAGATGGAGTGGGAACCGTGCATGCTAATGCGCCGCCGTGCCACATTGATATTCACTGGTGGTGAAGGGTCCTTTGTGGGGTTTTTCATGATTTCTCTTTTATTAGAAGGAAGCTAAAGGCATTTAAAGGAACGAATGAAAGCCACACAGGCTAAATATCAATACTCCACCTTTACGACTCCCCTGCTGTGTTGCCCGGCTGTGCAAGCACCTGCGAGGCAGCGGGTGCTGCTGCCCTGCTCAGAGTCCCCTCTGTGACACCACTGCCCCTTTTTCACTCTATCTAACCCTTCCTTAATATAAAACCTTTAATACAGAATCATTAGGGTTAGAATAGATTGAGTCAACTTTTGACCGATCCTGGCCTTGTCAGCCAGACCAGAGAACTGAGTGCAATGTCCAGTCTTTGCTTAAACACCTGCAAGGATGGGGACTCCACCACCTCTCTGGGCAGCCTGTTCCAATGTTAAACCACTCCATCAGTGAGGAAATTCTTACTGTTTTTGAACCTGAACCTCCCCTTGTGCATCTTGAGCCCATTTCATCTTGAATATGAAATACGAAGTATTCACTCCTGCCCATCCCACCCAGCAGGCTGGGTGCTCATGAGTGGATAAACTGGCTGTCCAGGTGCTTGGATGCTTCTGGAGATACTGAGTCCTGCTTTACATCCTGGTTGGATTTCCCAGAGTATATGGTGCTCCTTGGCCCGCTGCCCATGCTGCCGAACACCCCTGACACATGGCCACAGTGGTGCTCCTGGGTTGGTGGTGGTGGTTGATGCCAGGGCTGGTGGTCTCTCTCCCAGCTGTCTGATGGCTGTGTTGTAGCAGATGATTCCCATATCCCACCTCTCCTAACCAGCTATCCCAACAAAGGTGGCATCTTGAACTTGTACCGGGTCCACCCAGCTCGGGGGCCTGGAGATGTCCCCTCCAGGGTCACAGGAGAACCCAGCAGCAGATGGATGGTGCCAGGGCTGAACAAGGAAAGTGCAGGTGGCTCAAACAAATCCTTGCAGAAATGAGGCATCGTGGGCCAAGGGAGCTGCTGTTACGAGAATACTGGAGGGAGGGTCACCATGGGCCACCTGCTCTCCTGCCTTTCTGTGAAAGGCTTTTCATCCAAAATGGAAGATTTCACCAAAGGCCATCAGGAAGAAAAAGGCATTTTGGGATCAAAGAGCACCAACTCCACAGGCCTATCCTCTGGGCTGGGCTCCATCCATCCCACAGGATCCTGGTGGGTTCAGCTGCCATGTGCTAGTGCTGGGAGGTGCCCACTTCTGGTAGAACCCCCCGGGTTGGATCCTGGCCCCCTGTAACTGCTCATGGGTGGGGCTTTGGTGCCTTGTTCCCATGACTGTATCCCAGCTCTGAGCAGCAGCAGCACATGGATGCAGCTCCTTGCCTGGGTGAGCCCGCCTCACCCTCGCCCCCAATCCTGTCCTTTCACTGAGACATTTTGCAGTTGTCAACTCCTTCTCTCCATTTCTATGGCAACTGTAAAAACCTCAGCCTTTTCGTGTCTTTTTTAGGGTTTTTTTTTGTGTCTGGGTTGGCTTTGTCTTTTTTGCATGGAGCATTAACTCAAAAAAACTATACTTTTGGCCACCAAAACCCTGCTCTGAGCTTGGCCTAAACACCTCTGTGAGAATCAGTGGGCAAGATGCTCATGTCTGGAGTGAGTGTTGCCAACTGGCTTCACGTTGCCTCTTCCCTCCACCACCAGCCCCACTGTTGCTCCCCTCATTCCTCAAAAAATCCCCATTGGCAATTCAGCTGTGTGGTTGTCCCTGGGGCTTTTCAATGTCTTTTATACAGCCCCATCCCTGGATGTGATGGAGGAGGCAGCAGCTTTCTCAACAGCAGTAATTAACAGGAGATGTCGTGCTGCTGCCAGTGAAAGTGAACCCAAGGCTCTTGCACATCTGAGGCAGGAGAGAGCGTTTGAATGGGGAAGAGGAGCGTGTATTAATGGTGTTATTATGTGCCTCTTTCTACAAAAAAAAAAAAAAAAAAAAAAAAAAAAAAGGAATGTATTTTATGCCATTTAATGACCTTCAAATTAACAGTTCTTTGAAAGCACTTATGTATATTTAATTTTAAATGTTGCTCCAAGTCAGAGCAGGGTTGCAATGAAAACAGCAGGCAGCCGGTTTTTAAGTAAGAGCGATCTCAGACCATTATTCCTGAGCATGTCAGCTTGTGGTGCCTCTAATTCTCCTTTCCCAAAGAGGAATCAGGGCTGTCCTTCTCTCTGTCCCTCTTCCCTTCTCCCCCATCTCTGCTCCAGGAGCTCCCCACATGCTGTCCTGAGCCCCACGGGGTCTCCTTTTCTACTTTCCGCTTCTCCAGGGTGTTTGATTCAGAGGGAGAATAGGGTTGGTTTGGGGTTGATTTGCAGAGATCTCATCAATGAATCTGCCTGCATTCCGGGGACATCCCTGTGGGAGCCAGGGGAACATCCCAGCTGGCAC